CTCAGGTAATTGCTGCTCCTGAGCCATCTGAGCAGGAGACTGAATTGGATCGGTTGCGGTATCGGATTGATTATGTTCAGCTGGCACTAGAATTGGCAGCCAACATATTTACTGATGAGGGTGCTAATGACGCCGATGCTGATGCTGAGGTTGTGGCTGGACCGCAAGAAAGTGCCAGCGATGCTGAAGAGGACGAAGAAGACGAAGAAGACGAGGACATGGCAGATGATGCCAGTGTGCATAGCCCGCCGGCCGACTTTGACGAGGCCGATATGAACGATGTGCTTGGCGACGAAGCTGCTGCCAAGCGTGAGGCCGAGGACGCAGTGCAGCAGTCAATTCTGGGCATGTTTATTGAGAACATTGTCCCGCATCTGCTTCGCTTGGCAGAGCCCACAACCGCAACATTTCTGGCACCTGCAACGGCCAGCTGCACTCCCGACGTAACTGCACGAGTGGTGCTGGTGGCAGAAGACTTTGCAGCGCTGAATGAGCGCGCTTTGGGCTGCTTCAACAACTTTTTGCTTGTTATTGAGGAGTCGTTGCGCCCATGGTTCCGCATGCATAGCGACAATGTGGCACAGTGGTGGGCCTGCTTGGTTGCGGTAGCTGAGCGCCTTTTGGCAGCCGAATCGCCATCTGCAGACTTGGCAGATACCGACCAGCAGCTGCGCTTTGCAGTGCTCGACCCGACCATTGGCTGCATGTGGACACTGGCGCGGTGCGTGGAAGGCTCTGTTCCCGTTACTCCCGAGCAGATTGAGGGTCTGATCCACGTTTACGCCCAGGCACCGTCTTCGGCGTTGCGAGTGAAAGCCGTGGGCGCATTGGGCAATATCGCTCGCCGCCATCCTGGACATGTTGAAGCTAACCGCCGCATTGGCTGCTTTTTGCTTGACCAGGCCATCGCTGCACCGCTGCAGACCCTGGCACAGAACAGCACAGGCTCCGTGCAGGTTGCTGTAGAGCCAATAGTGGAAGCGCTGGATCTGCTGTTTGACATTTACGGCGATATGGAGTTTGACTATGACGAGCCTGTGTTTGTGCGCGAGAACATGCTGGCTCGGCTGCGGCAGCTGTACATTCCGGTGCGTAAGTTGGTCAAGACCGTGGACCGCCGCAAGCACCGCGGCCTACGTGACCGCTGCGATCTGGCGGTTCAGAATCTGCGCGCATTTATTGACTACAAGGCGTCTGAGCGCAAGGCTGCTCGCTAACTATTCTTTTTATAAATACAAGTTTGTTTGGTTTGTATAGCTCTATAGTGCTGCACGCACGGGCTCGAGGCGGTACCGCAGCTCCTTTCCCGGCTTCGTTTCGGGTGCCCACTTGTCAAACAGCGCAACCAGCCGCCGCAGCTCACTGCGCAGACTGCGGTTGTTCTGGATCTCGGGTTCGTCCCACAGCGTACGCATAATCCAGGGGATATAAAATGGATTTAACGGCTCGGCAGCATTGAATGGGCGGTACGACATGTGTATCTGCGGGCCGCTGGCTCCGTTTCCGCGCGCATGGCGTGCATCTGCTGGCACAGACTCGGAAGCGGAGGCACAGGACGTGGCTGATGTAGAATACAGCAGCCACTTTACCGCCAGCTTATACACAGCGGGCTCGCCATACACTGTCGAATGGCCCCAGTGCCCCCACAGAGATCCAGCCACCACTTCGCTCAGATGAATAAGCAAGTCGTGGTCATAGATGCCCATGTTGCGCAGCCGCACCGCAAACACAATCAGCCCTGTCAAAAAGTCGTCGCTGTAGTGCGGTGCGTCGATGTACACTGCGCGGTACACGTTGGGATGCGACACGCCCTGCAAAATCGCAGAGTAGAGCGGGACAGCTTCGTCTACCCACGATCCGACACATACCAGCCTCACGCCACGATGCAGAATGGTGCTCAGTGCCGCCACGTACCGCTGGCTTTGATAGGAGCTTGGATCCATCAGCTCAAACAGTTCTCGAGCCGTGCCGGACTCTATGTATTTGATCACGACATTGTCCTTCAGATGGGCCAGCGGTCCGTGGCTAATACCTGCCATAGCCAGCATCGCCACGCGCTGCCGGTCTGTGTCAACCAGGCCCAGCTCCATCAGCCGCTCGATGATCATCGCTGATACAGGCGTGCCTTGCGAATGGGTTACCACAAACACAGTGTCGGCATCGCGCAGAACCTGTGCTCGCTGGCTGCGCTCTGGCATCAGTGCCTCGGCCGCTTGCTCCGATAGCTTTCCAGACGGATTGCGGCCATCAGCATCCTCCGCAGCTGCTTGTTGCTCGCGTAGGCTGCTTTCGGCAGCTTCGGCATCTAGAATCTGCGCCAGCAAAAGCTCGACACGATCTTCGATCCGCCCTTCTCCAATCAGCGGGAAAAGGCTGATGTCGCGCTCCTCTATAGTCACTTTATGGCTTTCTTCCAAGTACGCTTTGAGTGCGTCGCGCATCATCAAGCAGAACTTTTCCGACTTGCCAGTTGGCTCTCCTGCCAGCATCTGCAGCATCCGCATTGGAAACCACCCGTGCACGCCAATGATGGCAATTTTACCCAGTCTTCTTGCACTGCTGTCCATCAAATTGGTGAGCTGGTCGGCTGTTGGCATTGTGTCTGTGCAGTCTGGCCCGCTTATTTGGCCGTGCGCATCAGCCACATGCTGCCCCTGTAGTACTGTGCGGGCCCAGCCAGGCGCCATGTCGATAGCCGAGCTCACCACCGCCTGTCCCAGTAGTCTCAGCCGCTTGCGCAGCGGAAACTCATCGCTTTCCGTGTCGATGCGCGCATGCTTGTTTGCTGAAAGAAGCGGCTCTGTTTCCACGCTTATCGGCAAGCGTCTATCTGGCAGCATATCTGCCGAAAACTTGTCGCTACCCACATCAAAATCGGGTAGTAACATGCTTTTAGCCGATGCATTGTGCTGGGTTGTTGGCATTGCCGGTGTCCGCTCGCCGGAGCTTGCTGCTGGAGTTGCTGTTTCCTTGGCCGTTGTGCTTGAATCGGCTTCTGGCTGGCTGTTTTTGCTAGACCACCACTGCAGCCACTTTGAGCTGCGTGGAGATTCTTCAACGTGCTTGGGACCAGCTACCGGATTAGCTCCATCATTAGCGGCTATAGCAGACGCAATTGAAGCGGCATCTGCTGGCTTTACCTGCTGGCTGGTCCCCTTTGCATCTAAGGCATCCTCTATAGATGTTGCTGAGCAGGCTGGCTCTGAAGACGCGGCAGCGCCGGTACTGGGATCTGGCTGCACCTGCTGGTCTAATGAATTGGCCACGTGCTCAACTGGCTGCTTGCGCTCAATCTCCTTCAAGTGATCAACTGCCGACCTGCGCGTGGCTGCGCCAGTGTCAAGCGAGTTCTGGTTGGCTTTGGCTGAGCTTCCCAGGGATAGGCGTGAGATGGCTGCCCACAGTGACGAGCTCTGGCTCCGGTCAGCAGTTGCTGGCCGCTGAATCTGCATGTCGTCATTACAAACCACGGTGGTGTCTGTAGCCGGCCGGGCCGTTGAGAACTGAACGGATGTCAGATCATGCGGAAGGGATGAGCCGGTAGTGTTGTGTGTTGTGTGCGGTGTGTCATTGTCAATGCTGCTGCTTTTGCTGCACGTCCGCGTTGAGTTTCTCGGAGTCACCGTTGCCGAGTCTGGGTCCGAGCTCACGTTTGAAGCAGCAACCAGCGGCTTCATCATACACAGCGCCTGCTTTGATGTGCTGGCTGGCCGCGAGTCGGACGACAGTATGCGCCCTCGTGCTTCTATCCGGCGGGGACCGCTGACCAGAGTTGTGGCTACCTGTGGTTTGCTCTGAGTGGCCAGGCCGTCATGAGGTCCGTCTGCGCTGGAGCGTATGGATGCAGACCTGAGCGAGCGGGTAAAGTGAGGAGGGACAGGCGCAGTCGCTGGTGACGTCGGCGACATGTTTGACGACCAGCTGCGCGGCCGGCCGTCAAAATCCAGCAGGGCGCCCATAAAGCCCGACGGCAGCTCTGGCGTGGATGACGTCTGCGGGTCATTGGCAAAGTTCCCGAGTTTCATTTGGTAGCAATTAACTAAGGAGGACAAATAAAGAAAAAAGGCAAAAGAGCCACATGATGGCTAGAGCTCAAAGCTGCGGAGAAAGTCCAGTGGCGTTTCAGGAGGGCTTTCGGTACCTGCCGGCTTGCCCGAAGCAGTGTTGGTGACGACATCAAACCACACATTCGACCCGTAGCATATGCACAGCTCTTCGCCTGCAGCAATGTCGCGCAGTGCAATGTACTTTATCAGCGCCCGATCCATGTCCCGCACAAACCCAACGTTTTCGCTTCCCGGCGGCTCGTGATTGAACATGCTCCCCAGTCCCAATGCCAGCGCGTACTGCCCTTTCTGCCAGCGGTAAGTGTAGTGGTCCAGGCAAGTGTGCCTTCCGTAGTCGCGGTACTCTTCATCCTTAAATATTAGCACCGGTGATATATGCACCAGCGTTCCCCTGCCTATTTGATTGCGTGTGAAGACGCCTCTGCCCCGCTCAGGATGAGAGCGCAGCTCCAGGCATCCCAGCTCCGGCAGATGCACTGCTTCGTTGTCGCTATCGTCCACAGCTGCCATTTCAAAAAATAAAAATAAAATACAGTGCAGGCACATTTATGATCAATGCTCGAGTTTGCGAGTTGGAAATTATGGAGTGGCCCAGCTGTCCAGATACCATTGCCGTGTGGTATAAACGTATGCTAAATAATTACAAGATGTGAACCTTCTCCGCTGCCCAACAGCTCGCACTCCCCAGTACAGAAGCACAATGCCTGACCGTCTGGAATGACGAGGTTGAGCGCATCAAAATTATGTTGAAACAAAAAAAGAACCTATTAACAGCCACATGGCTGGCCTCACTAAAAACCGTTCGTTTCTGCTGGGAGCTTTCATTGCGGGATGCCACATATTCCAACACGGCAATCGGCGCATGCAAAAGAAACAAGCTCCTTTGGCTTGTGGCGTTTTTTTTTTTAAAAAAAAAAAAAAGCGAAGCAAAAGTGCTCCATACCAGGATTGAACTGGTGGCCTTCGCGTGTCTCTTACATAGTTTTTTCCGATTGTGACCAATCAACTATAAGCACGACGCTCTACCTGTTGAGCTAATGGAGCTTTCTCATCGAGAATTTTTAAAGGATGCTTTTGTCCCGTCGGCCGCTTTTGCCAAAAAAGACCTCCAGTATTCTTTGCCATAAAGGGGCAGAACGCTGTCTTCTCCCTCAATTATGCCCATCATCACCACTGCTGCTCTTTCAGCTGTCGGGGCATATCCCAATGCAGTATATGGCTGCTGTAAATGCTTACCAGCCAGTAGTCAATACTCATACAAGTTATGGTATCACAGAAGATAACTGCTTAGTCTGGCACTGCCCCTGCTAAGTAGCATCAACATTGCCAGCAGTTTGCCATTGCCAACAGTCAGCAGAAATGTGATGATATTATATATAGCTCTCAGCCATTCTCTTTCAAGTAAATGTAGTAATGTCTGGAATGACTTATTTAGTGCAACTGTCATGACATGGGCAGCTTGTCACCAGCTCTTAGTTTTGCCATCAATGGTTTCAGGTGTCTGTGATCAAATAGGCACCAGCACAGCAAAGGTAAATGGATTATCCAGTTACTACAATTGCCCTATAATTTCCCTACTAGGAGTGAATTCTATGTTCACACTGCCACCACCATTAGATAGCCACAATTACTAGTATGGACATATGTGGTGTCACAAGTGCCACCTGCTTAGGCTGGCACTGGCCTGTTGCTCTGTGCTGGTTGTGCACTCCATTGACACTGAAAAATGATGGTTTTATAGCAAAGTTACAAAGTGCCCTTCATCTTTTTCATGTTGTCCCTCTTTTTCCTCTCCTTGCAGTCTGAGTGGTTGAGTGGTTTGCTGGTCATTTCCTGATCAGAGCCCATGATCAATGGGCTGTGATCACCATAGCCCATCACAGCCAGAATGCATAACCTGATTATGCCCCTTTGTTTTTTTTTTTTATGTCTTTCCCTTCTTTTCTGCAGTAATGTGGTGTCATGGGCAGCACCCGAATAGGCTGGCACCACCCCTTGCTGGCCTGCACCAGTTGTTGCTGTCTGCCGGCATGCGCTGTCCATGGCTGATTTATCAGCGACAGCGTCTTCTTCTTTCCTTTCCTCTATTCCGATCAAGGCTGCCACGTTATGTGTGTTTATTAATTACTGTCTTTGTGTGATCCCAGTCTGTGCGCGTTACTGGGCCTGCAGGCTAATGATCACATGACCATGTGATCGCGAAAATATGTGTTGCCAGATGTTGCCTTCCTGCTTTAATCCTCACCAGGAGTGCGCCGATGCGCACTCCCTCTCTCCCTTTTGATGACCTTCCTTTAGTTCTGCCAGCATTGCGGCTGTTTTGTCTCCTCCAAGCCGCGCTATCCGAGTCTTCAGCTTCATTTCTGGCCAAGTGATGATGCGATCGCCAGCAAGGCTCCCAATTAGGCACAGTGTTTTCCACAAGCGTATTAGCTCATTTCCGCTGTGTCGTTGGGTGCTTTGTGCACTTGCTAGAGCACGGGTAGCCGCCGTCGCTGTTGGACTATTTAATGGTCCTGCATGCGGCCGCCATAGCAGTTTCTCTCTCTCGTTTTCAGTTTTTCTTAATATACTCACCTGCCGCAACGTCTGCCGTAGGCTTTAGTTTTATTAGGGAAAACTATATTATTGCTTGTGTTGCTTGACCGCGATCCTGTCTTGCAAACCCTTTTATTGCCGTCATCGCTGCAGGGACACCATCAGCGGAACAGCGGCTTGGCC